CCCTTTCCATGGCTCCTGAACCCCAAAACACTAAGCTACAGGAGTGGTCTTCATTTTTTACTCTTTATTATCTCCATTATGTCACAATTTGCTGAGCAGTGGTGGGGGAGGGGAAGTGGGATCTAGATCTATGGTAATCATAAAACTATACTTCTCTTTTATCTTTTTAAGAATGTTAAGTATGCTTATTTTATAGTTGTTTTGAATTGTTATTTCTTTTGTTGTTCTTAATCCTTACCCAAGTATATTTTTCCATTGATTTTTTGATAGAGTGGAAGGGAAAAAGGGAGAGAGAGAGAGAGAAACATTGCTGTGAGAGAGACACATCAATTGGTTGGCTCCCACAAGACCGGGGACCGAACCTGCAACCCAGGTACTAGCCTCTGACTAGGAATTGAACCTGTAGCCCTTTGGTCCTTGGACCAATACTCTAACCACTGAGCAAAACTGGCCAGGACATTGCTTTGCACTGTTATGTGATTTCCAGTGCTTGGGGTGCTAATTGTCCTATTTATTGCTTCTGCAAACTCTCCCTCATATGAGGTGTGTGATTTTTTTATAGTGAGCTCATCTTTAGTGGTGGATTTTTTTCCTGTGGAAGTCTCAGGTGCCCTGGATTGGGGAATATCTCTACAGAGAAGGTTTGCCCTTGTTCCTACTGGGGTTTCTAAGTGAGTTACTATTCTGGACAATTTTTTTATGTAAGTTCTCAGCTGGAGGTTCCTGTCACATACTCATGGTATACATTTGGACTCTGAACCAGGGTCAGGCTTGGAGTCTTCATTTCTCATGCAGACTCACCCTCCACCTCTCACTTGATTCCCTGGACCATTGGGGTGAGTTTGTGTGCTTCCCTTTATTGAACAGTGTTGTCCTGCTCTGTTCCTGACTTTATGCAGAGTAATACTCCATTCTAGCTTCCTGCTTCTCTTGGACTCAGGTCATATATCGCATCTGGTGTGTTACAACCCAGCCTCCCCCCTTTAGGGTATGCCTCCACTGTCTCGCATACTGCTCTGGCTTTGAGTTTCCCTCTGTTTCTGGTGCCAGAGAGAGAGGTTGGTTGTGTATTAACAATTCTTGTTGTTACGTTTTACCCATCTGTGTTTTGGTGAGTTTCAGCTGCCTTGCTTCTGGAACTCAGTCTCATTCCTCCATTACCTCTCTGGGACTAAAATGAGGGTGGTGAGAACCATGTGCACGAAGCTGTCCCAGTGTGTGGCAGTGATGCCCACTAGAGGCCAGTGAAGCCTGCTCAGCGTAGCAGCTCCAGAGGCTGGTGTATTCCTTGGCTTCTAGAGCGAGCATGCAGAGCCTCCGCACAACCCCTGACTCCAACCAACTGTTTTGTTCCATTCAGGCTCCAGGGTAGGGAACCTGCTCTCACCTTCAGGGTGGACTTTCACCAGGCCAAGGAATTCTCTAAGTGCTCAGAAGCATCTCCAAAGGCCTTTGGGAATTCTGAAACTAGCACTCATCTTCTCCCAGATCAACATTAATGCCAGTGTCCCCTCATGTTCCTCTCTGGCTGCAGACCTGGCCAGGCATAGGAAGGGAGGGTTCGAGGTGAGGAGGTCATGGGAAAGAGGAGCTCTTTTCTACCAGTGATGACAGACTTGAAGGAATGAAGGCACTGATTTACAGCTGGAGCCAGAGTCCTCACTGAAGAGGCCCTGATCCAGAGGTCCCTGGGACGACTGAGGGGTTGATGGCAGTCCCCTGTGGGATCCTTTGGAAGAATAAGAAGTTAGAAGAAGGCACCAGCCACAGCCAGCCACCCTGAGGAAGCCTGGGGCCTGAGTGCCCTAAACCCACTCCCTCATCTAGCTGGTCCCTTTTTCCTTATCACTTAGGAGTGACTCGGCTCCGTTCCAGACCAGCAGCCTAGAGCAGTGGGCTGGAGAGAAGAGATGCCGCTGAGCTAGAGCAGCCCAGCGGCGGAAGGGAATGTGGGTGATAAATTTAAATAACCAGCTTGACTTGGCAGCTTGCTGAGTTGTGATGCAATGAAATTAAAATCTCGGCAGAACTTGCAAACACTACCCAGAAAAGTCGGTCTCCCTCCTTGGTTCTATGATAGGAAGTGGGGAGGGGAGGCTATCGGGCTGAGCCCCAGCCTCTGGCAGCCACCCTTGCTTGCAATGTGATTAGCTGTGTCCTGGCCCACTGAGCCTCACTCTCCCCTCCACACAATAGTCCAAGCTCCTCTCTCCTCTCAGTCCTGACCTTGTGGAACAGCTGTATCAAGTGGCTGGTGAAGTTTGAAATCAGCCTCCAGTGCCAGGAGGTGGCAGGAATATCAATAAGGTTAGCTCTTCAAGTTGGGCTAGGGCATTCTGGGCTGGTTTCCTCGGAATTCATCCCCAGAGGTTTGCAGCCTCAGATGCCTGTCCCCAGGGAAGATGAGCTGGGTGCCTAAGATGTGGGATGAAGAGGGCTCCTTGAACACCTGGGTACACCTAAGCCAGGCTGTAGGCACAGGATGCTCCCCTGCCCGCTCACTCTGAGCACACACCTGGCCAGAATCAGCTACCTGAAAGGGCCTCCCCTTTACTTCCTGACCAAAGCCTTTCGTATCGGCCAACAAGATTAGCTTTTTAAGATCTTTGAAGGGAATTTCTGCAAATACACCCGAGCCTCTCCCACATCCCAGCCACGCTTGGAGCCTGGTTCTCCCTGATGCCCACATCTTTCCAGAGAACTCTGGTGTCTGCTCTCCTTGCGTCACTGCTCACTGCTCCCCACAAAGTCCTGGCCCGAAGGCCAACATACTGGACCCACTGCTGAGGTGGCCCATGAAGTCCCTGGGCACTGCCCTGTTTCTCACCTTGACAGTACCTTCAGCAAATTCTGTTTGTGGCCATAATAAACACATCATGAATCATTCATCTTTAATAGATTATGCAAATTAGGAGGACATAAAATCAACAAAGATCAATAACTGCAGCCGTTTAATTGCCAGCAAAAACATTTTAAGAATGAGCAACCCTTTCTCGGGTAATGGCACCATTCATCCAAACACTGGATCTTGGCCTAAGTGTAGAAAAATCATTCCCTGCCCCCCATCCCCTTCTATCTCCCCTCCCCCACCTCTCCACACACTTTACTCTTTTTGGTAATTTCCAGTTTCTGAGCGAGTTTCCCCGTCATTACCACTGGTGAACAGCTCCGAATGTTAATGGTTCTGCTTTTGTTACTCCTCGCTTGATTGAAATGTCGCATACAGATTGAGATGTTAGTGCTAACTTGCCACCTGGGAATGTCAAGCTGGGTCTGAAATGAACTTTTCTCACACTTGGATCCAGATGGATCAGCCGGAGATGTTCCCAGGCTGAGCTGGGACCGTTCCAGGGCCATGGGGGGGAGGCGGGTGGGGGAGGCTCAAGGTGGAGGGACTTTTCTGCACCAGCCTGAGTTTTCCTGCAGCAGGAACCCTGCCCCCAGATTCCATCTCTCCAGCCTAGGAAGCACCTGCCTTCAGGACTGTGGCCCTGGGCCCAGGGAAGCACAGCTGGGATTGGAGAAAAGTCTCCTGGGGTCTCTTTCACCAGTTGCCTAGGGAAGTGACCACTGTAACTCTCAGCAGATCAGGAAGGAGAAAGGGGGCCTGGCCTGGGCCATCTCTCTGCCTTGGGTCAGAATACCCAGCAGCTCAGATAGCTTCCAAATTGAGCTACGAAGAGCTCATGCCAAGAGTCAGCTGATAATGTGTCCTGATCCAGCAAAGACTGTCACTCCCAAAAGCCTGACCGTACAGTTCTCTGACACTTCCAGAACTCAACCTCTGGTTGTCTAGCCAAAGAGCTCAACACTATCCAGGCTGGAAACAGTTGTACCAGGACACCCCTTAGGGAGAACTGGGAAACCTAATAACAAACCCCAGGTGGCAGCTGGGTGGCCATGTGCTGCCCATCCCAGGCCTGAGCCATACTCAGATCAGCTCCAAGTCAGAACCAGGGCCCTGCCTTACAGTGAGTGGGGCCAGGCCTGCTTCTGGTCTTTGCCACTGGCTGTGATGCTGGATGCTCGCCGCCTGGGCAGGTCCCCAGGCCGCCTCTGCTCGCCTTGCTCGGCAGGTAACGCCTCAGTGTCTCCCAATCCCCACCGAGACCCTTCTCAATCATTCTGTCTCCCAAGGAACAAACGGCACATTGCTTTTAGTGTCTCCAGAATAATTAGGTGAATTTTAATAACACCTCAATGTGTGTCTCTCCCACTTGGGCACTTTCCTGGCCTGGAAACCCTTCTGCAATGCCAGGCACCTTCCACAGCCAGTAGCACTGAGGCCTAGAGCTTCGTGGGCTGGGCCCTTCACTGCGCCACATCTCAGCCTTCTTTCACGCCAGCTGCCTCTGCTGCTCCTAGTTCATGGGAAGTACCTGGGTTATGTGCCCCTGCATTTGACTGTGGGACAGGCCCCACCCTGCCTGGCCTTGAAATCAAGCCTTGGTGTCTGTGACTTCTCTGGGAAGCCGGAGAAGGGCTAGGATAGTTGTGCTTTTCTGTAACCACCGTGCTGGATGTCATGTCCCAAAGCCCTAAGCCACAGCAACCCAGGCTGCTCAGAGGGAGAGGAAAGCAGGTTCCCAACAAGCTTGGGGACATAAGACCATGGAGGCTGAACCCTAGACACTGATGCTCCAGCTTCTTGCTAGTCTGGACTAGTTAACCTCTGCCTTCTCCTGCACAAGTCCTAGTAAGAGGCTTATAATTCTGGGCACGTTGGTGGAGGCAAGAAAAAAGGCAAAGAGGGGGGCAAGAGGATGGGCAGAAAGAGCCAGCAAGAGCCCCCTTTCCAGGTGGAAGCACACGGAGACCCTGACCACAATTTTTCATCCACACCTCTGCACACATCTGTTCAGGAAGCACCCTGGTTTCTGGAGACTCACTCTCTCTGCAGATATGGCATGGAGCCCACTTGTCACATTGGGCCCCAGACGGCAGGAGCTGAGGTGCTCCCACTGAAAGCCATGCCCCCACCCCCTTGGAAGCCCTCTTACCGGTCACAACGGGGTATGTCTGCGTGCCTGACACGTTGCTGCCCAGCTCGGGGTTGGTGGGTGCAGATAGACTCGACTTGACTTCATCAAGCCCAGGGGTCAGGGCTGGGAGGGAGTACTCGTTCCCCTGGGAGGAGAGAGAAAAGCGACAGCTCTCTATTGATGCACACATGTGGAGAAAGGGCTCAGTGTGCAGATGGGGAGGAGGACCGGGGAGCCCTCCCAGATGGGGTGGAAGGAGATGGCCAGGCAGAGGGAGGGAGAGTGGGGGGTGGGCTGGAGAATGACCAGAGTTTTGTGTGGGCAGATGCGGACCTGACTTTGTGAAGCTGAGGTGCAGCCTATACATTATCAGTTGTTATGCCAGCACCCTTTACATTGCTGTAGAAGCTCTTCCTAAGACGGCCCAAGGGTGGAGTATAGCACTGAGGATCCCCTGCTGAGAGGCAAGGGGGTGTTTTAAGGTCCCCCTGGGGTGGGAAGCTTTGGGGAGGAGGGGCAGACCATGACATGATGGCAGCAGCAGTAGCTGGGGGAAGGGCCTAGTGGGGCCTCCAGCCTGGCACTGCTGGGCCGGCTGATCGGGTGCTGGCGCCCCTTTTTTAAAAACAAACAAAGACAGCCCCATGGGCCCCTAGCTCTCTGCCGGTGCACTGGGGTATGAAATTGGGGAGGGGGAGAGTCCACATGGCTAACAGAAGGGTGGGAGGGGGCCAGTCATTGACTCTGAAAGGGTGTCCTGCCCGAAACACTCGGGTAATTGCCTTTTTATTGCAGCCACCGCCAAGCCAGACCCCAGAGCTGGGCAGGCCAGGAGCCCGCACAAAGCAGGAAAAGTTGCTCTGATTAATATTACGTTAAATTAAAACTGATTTTCTGCTCTTTCGGGTTCGTTTTTTTCCCCTTCCGCTTCCTGGCCCCCCCAGAGGACCCCCTCCCCTCCCCGGCTGGACGGGATTGCCTCGTCATTTCCAATTCCTTCTCGTATTGATCTTCCTGTAGAAATCAGTTTTGTAATTAGCTGCAAATTAGGCCTTCTACTGGGGGTGAAGCTGCCCCCTGATTTATCACCAGAGTAATTCGCTGTGATCGGAGAGAAATTAAAATGAACTCAATTAGGCTTCGGATTTGCTTTATGGGCCCTGCTCCGAGTTTCAGGGGGAAAAATGACTGTGCTGGTGTTTAATAGTCTAATGAAAGTAAATAAAGGTTATTCATTGTAATACAGCCGGGGACTCAGGGAGGGTGCACTGAGCCTCCTGCCTCGGCCAGCTCCTCCTTTGTTGGTTTATGGCTCAGGGCACCTTAAAAAGACTTTTGATTTTTGTTTTATGAAGACAAACAGCTTATGGGATAAAAGGACGGGCGGGGAGAAAGGCGAGTGGCTGCGAGTTGTTGGAGTCCTACAGCGGAATTGTGCTGTGTGGAGCCGGCGGGGCTGTGCTGGTGCACGTGTGCTTGTGTGCTGGGGCGCGCGTGTGTGTGTGCACTGTGTGTGTGCATGCTCTGTGTGTGTGTGCAAGTGCAGCAGAGTGTGTGGTACTGTAGTTGTGGGCCTGGTGTGGGTTGCAGGTGTGGGAGGAATGAGTGTGTGCTCCCGTGTTTGAGCATGTGCACTGTGGGCTACACCGAGGTGTGGGTGGAAGTGGGGCGGAAGGGTGCTGAGCTGGTGGGGGGAATACTGGGAGTACTGTGGGCTGTGGGAGGAGGGAGCCCATGGGTGGTGGTGGTGTGTAAACATGTGTACACGGGTACATGTGAGACGTTAGCAGATGTGTGTCTACATTGTGTACTGTGCGGGTATGCTGTGGGCTGCATCCCATCCTATATGCTCTGGGCTGTTCTGCATCTGCAGGAAGTATTGGCTCTGAGGGGTAGGCTGTCAACCTGCCTGGGGTCACACTGGACAGCTGGATTGGGGAGCAAGAGTCAGGCACAGCCGGGCAAGAAGAGTGCCATGGCTTGCGTAGACCTTCTGTAGGGTTCTGGGGCAATTCAGGCAAGGGACATGGCCAAAGAAAGTTCCTGAGTATTCCAGGCCAGGAGCAGAGAAAGACAGGGCCAGAAGGTATCTGTCAGACCATACATCCAAGCCCTTCATTCTATAGACCGGGAAACTGAGTCTCTGAAAGGGGTAAGACTTAATCAAAGTCATACTCACAGCCAGAACTCGTCATTTCTCACTACCATATACCGTAATGACTTGTCCTAACTCTACTTTAATGTCCTGTGTGAACCTGTTCACAAGGCCCACAGACGGTGCAACCGTAAGTAGCACATACAATGCTGGGTGTATGCATGGCTGATCCCTGTGCATGCTCTCCAGACACTTGTTCTGCCCAGTTCCTTTCCACTTCTGCACCCAGAAAGCACCTTCCTCACCTGTTCTGATTTGATGTGCTCTGATGCCTGGAAGACGTCAGGGTACGAAGGACGCTCAAAGACCCGATCCAAAGCTTCCAGCTGCTGCTGGGTGAAGGTGTCAGCTCGCAAGTGCTTCCGCAAACTGTCCACGCCACTCTGGGAATCTCCATTGGGGACTGAGCCCTCGGACACATCTAGGGGACACATGCACACTCCAGGCATCAGTACAGGCCAGTAGAGGCACAGAGTAGTGCAGTGGGTAAAGGGGGCCACCTGGCTTGGTCCCTAGGGCTTCGCACCCCTGTTGGGACCCCTCACTCCCAGCTTTGAGGCTGGAGGGACTGGCCCAGGGCTGGCCATGCCTCAGAGATCTGGCTGAAGAAGCCAGAGCCTCTGAAGGAGCTGGGAAGAGACAGGAAAGTTGTCCCAGTACGGGGGGCCAGAAGGACTAGACAGAGGTGGAGCCAGAGGGCCGTCTCCCCTGAACCTCTGTCCCCTGGCCTGGATCAGCCTGGTGGAGGAGCTAGGTGTCTAGCATGGGCATTACCCAGCCTGTGGAGAATTGAACTTGGCTCTGAGATGAATTTCAGTTCCACTGACTCCAAGGGTGGAAAATCATCAAATCTCCGAGGCTGAGTGTAACATGGAGACTGGGTGAAGTAATTAACTTCACCACTGAGGGAGGAGGTACTTGAAGCCAAGCTAAGGCACTTTACTTGCTTTGGGCCAGGACTGAGACCAGAGCAGGAGGACAGCAGGTGGCAGGTGAGCAGTAAAATGCTAAGTTGGACAGAGACTGAAGACAGAGTCTTTGTGGATGCTGTTGTGCCCAGGCCACCCAGTTCGGCTTCTGTCCCTGACCTGGACTCTGGTAAGGCCTCTATCAGAGGCCAGTTCCTTGGCCACTTTATTCCTCCTGTGAGTCTCCACAGGGAGCTGAGACTTGCTCCACAAAGGAAAGGCCACAGGGGTGCCACATTAGTGTTTGCTCCCTGCGGCCGCAGGCCAACTCCGTCCACATCCTGCCCTACGCAGGCTTTCTCAGCATTCTGCTCCCCCTGCTTCCTGTCCCTGCCCTCCCACATCAGGTGCACGGGAGTGTTCAGAGTATACAGTGGGCCAAGTGCCAACTCTGCTACCTCTCCCTGAGCCCCACCCTGCAATTCCCCTGCACCAAAGCTGAGTCCTCCCCAGCCACAGCTCGGCCAAAACCAGCTGGGAGCCTTGGGCCTTCGGCCAGCCCATGTTGGAAGCCCCAGGGTGATCCTCCGGGACTGTTATATATATCAGTTTATAGGTGATTATACGATATGATATAATCAATATTGCATTATATACAGTAACACCATACAGTATCATTCGGGAGAACATAGAAAATATTACATATTGATTAACCTCAACCTGCAGCCACCCTATGCTCTCTCGCTGTCCTCTCAGACAGAGCATGGGGGTCTGTTTCCTTAATGGAACCTCCTGTCTTCCCTCCACTTTATTCTGGAGGGGGTGGAAAAACAAAGAAAGTGCGGGGGCCGGCAGAGAAAGAGAGAAAGAGCGAGAGAAACAAAAACCAGGATTGAGTCTGAGGGGGACAGACAGACACAGGGACAACCTCAATGGCATTTCTATGTGCCCTCTGTTCCTATGGACACAAAACTTGGTGGTTGTGTTTTTTTCTGTGTCAGCCTCCGCAATGACTGTCTGTCGGAGAGGGTGCACGCCTTTCTCTCTATGAGTTAGGGTGTAGCGTATTTATATCTCCCTTTTGTGTGAGTATTCTCTGGGTAGAGGCATTTCTACACGTATAAACATCCACATAAATAAGTGTCTGGGTGTGTCAGTGACAGGGTGAAGACTTTTCTGAAAAGGTGTGTGTGACGTGTGTGATTGCATGGGGAGCGTGAGGCCCGCTTCTCTTTCAAGGATGTGCCATCATCCTAATTCCACCCTTGTGGCTATCTGCATGTTTCACTGGGTCTAATTCTCCCTTGCAGGGGTCCCGCTACCTTTTCGGGAGGCCTGGTTGTCAGGGCTGAGGAGGCAGTGAGAATGTCTTCTTCATGTGTGGTTGTTGTAGTGTCACCAGTGCGTCCTGGGGGTAAAGTGTGCATGTGCCTGTGAGAAGGTGCTCACACACTGTGTGCATGAATGTGTGCATGTGTGTGGCGAGACTCATACATGTCTCTGTGTAGATTTGTAAATATGCCTGTGTGTGGCTTGACTAAGCTCGTGTGTGTGTGTGTGTGTGTGTGTGTGTGTGTGTGTGTGTAGGGGCTGAACTGAAGCTTTGTCCTCAGGTCACTGGCTGGAGGAGTCTCTTTTCCTTCATTTATTCGGGGGCCCTTCAGATCTTGACAAATCTGTCACTCTAAATTTGCGAGAGATTATGGCGCTCTCTCCCCAGCCCGCAGAGAGGTGATATATGATATCTGCTGCCCCTATTGATTGCCTGATCTGGTGGCAGAGGCCGGCGAAATGAACTTGAAATGAACATCATGCCTCAACTCATTGTGCGTATAATACACTACTTAATCCCACATTTTTCAGCCGCTATGGAATTCAATTGATCAATCATGTTCCACTGATAGTACTGTTTTAGGGGTTATTGCTGCTCCCTCCACTCACTGACCTTTTTATTTATTTATTTTTTTGTATACTTGGACCCTGGTGATAAGACAGGTTACAGAGGCAGCAATGGAGAGAAATGGGGAGGGAGAAGGAAAGGCAAAAGAAAGCTTGCTACTGGCAGAGGTGGCAGTGGGAGGCGGGGACAGGGGAGAAGAGGGAAGGCAGGGGTGGGGGAGAGAAGGAGAAAGAAGGTGTTGGAGGAGCTGCAAAGCAAACTGGTGTGATGAAAGCATGTAGAGAACCCCCAAGAGAGGCCGCTGGAGGCTCGAGGAGACTCCCCACGGGAGAAGGAAGGTGATGGGGGGAAGGCAGCGGTGATAACAAACACGAAGGAGCACAAGGGAAGTTCTGGGGAATCGGAGGAGAGCCACAGGGGTAGGGAGAGGGCAGTGGCATGACTGCTGGGCAGGGGGGCAGCCTCCAAAACTAGCCGAAGGGCCCATAGGCTCTCCCTCCGGAGAACGGTCAGGCACCTTTCCTTTAGCCAGAGAAGGAAGAGAGGAAGGAGGGTAAGGAGAAAGGGTGGAGGGGAGTGAGGAAAGAGGTTGGGAGGTGCCTGAGGAAGGGCAGAAAGAGAGGACGAAAGGGATGCTTCCCACGCTAGGAGCCTCGGGCAGCGCTGGCTGGGGTGAAGGCACTTGCCACAGCACCGGCTGTGCTTCCCCATAAGCCTGGGTATCCCGCTAACGAGGGCAGCCCAGGGCCTCAAAGAGGGTAGCAGAAGGAGGAGGAACAGGAGAAGAGAGTAGAGGAGGAGCAGAAAAGACAAAAGAACATGGAAGAAAACAACAGAACGGGAAGAGAAAATGAAGCGGCTATCAGTGCCAACCACTTGGAGGGACCTCCTCAGGAGAATGGAGAGAATGAGCTCAGAGTGGGATTCCCCAAGGCCAGGCTCAGAGGTGACAGCACGAGAGAGGGTGGAACTTGGCTGTGACACGGCTGCTAGGCCCAGGTACTGAATTGGTTTTTGGCAGAGCTGGGCTAAAATAGAGGAGGAGGCAGAAGTGGGCCTTGATCTATGCTCCAGAGTGGGCAGGGAAGGAAAGGGTGTGAGTAATTAGATAGCATCCTTCCTCTTGTGGGCACCTGTGGCCAGGGACCATGACCAGGGCATCTCTGGAGCTCTAGTGCCGGGCACAGAGTTGGGCATACGGTTGGTACTCAATGAATGACTGAATAAATGAATGAAGCTCTCCTGGGGAGCATTTAAGCCAGACCCCTGGCAGTAGGTCTCTAAACTGGCTTGGCACCCTAGGACACTCAGTCACTTGTAAGGCAAGTCCCTCACATCCCTAGTTATCAGAGACCCTGAGCAGACTGATACCCCTTTTCACTCAGCCACACAACTTGTTAGCTTCTGGCACCATCGACTCTGGTCCACGAAGCCCTTGCTGCTCTCATCAACACCATCCTGCCCACCTACAGTGCCTCTACCCAAGGGACAGAGAACCCTGTATTCCCAATTAAAAACAGAACTTAACCTTGGAGCTGCAGAACTGCCGTTCAAAACAGGTAAGAGAGGACTTCCCATACCAAGGCCCTGGTCACACAGAGCAGGGTGGGGAAAAAATGAGTCTATTTGCCCGTGGTGGGAGCTGGTTCCAGGGAAAGCCTTTCCTAAATGATGAGAGGAGGCCTGCAGCCTTCACCCTAATGGGATAAGAAGCCCACCCCTCATCCAGACTCTAAGAAGAGGCCTGGAGTACAGTGGCCATATGTCCTGAGCTTTATGGAATAGTTCTGATTTCCAATAGCTTTTCCCAGTCTCAGGCCAAGTGTTTAGACAGGCTGGAAAAGGTGGTTGCTGTAGGGTTAGTAAGACCCCACAGAGCGAGAAAGGCACCGTGTGCTTGTCAGTCCCCAAACGTGGCTGATTCAGCCTTGTTCTGCTGTCCCCTGCCCAGCCACCATCCATTAGCAGTTCGTAGCACCAAGAGCTTATTTCATGCTATTGTTGAACTTGACACAGCTCATTTAATCCCCCCAACAACCCTGGAAGGTAAATACTATGATACCTATTTTAAAGATAAGGAAAATGAGGCAGAGAGACTGAAGTAGCTTATCCAAGGCCATGCAGCTGGTAAATGGCAGTCAGGATTTGAATTCAGGTCCATCTGATTCCAGAGCCTGCCCTCTATATCACTTCACTCTGCTGCCTGGGTGCCAGACCCAGGCCCAGCTGAGGGCCACTCGGCCCCATCCGGGACATGGTTTCATTCCCAGCATCCCTACTTCTCTGCCTTGCATCCTGCCTACACGGAGGCTGCAGCCTGTGGCCCCTGAGCTGGCTGAGCACAGACTGTGCCCAGAGTGATTAGGGGACACCTGGTTCAAAGCCCTCATTTTACAGCAATGAAAACTAGTGGGGTGGTCAGTGAGGTGGGGGAGAGGAGCTGATAAACCCAAGCTCACGCAAGCAAAGTAGACTCTCAGGACTGCAGCCCATTCTGGGACCTTTGTTCACTGCAGCCTGAGCACTCTCCAGGAGAGTGGGCCACCACAGTCCTTTCTGGAACAAGGCAGATATAAATAAATTAATTAAACAAACTGCTGAGTTAAAACTTTG